TTGTTATTTTATATTTTTACAAAAACAATTTTGGAAACAGGATTTAGCCCTCCAGCTTAATGTCACATTCCATTTATTTGGATATTTCAGTAAAGAATGTGAAATAATAATTCAATCTTTGCAAAATTTGATACCAACACACATGTAAACAGATATTATCACCTAAAAATAATAGAAAACAGAACTTAAATTTATTGTCTAATGCTATGAAAAAAATCTTAGATACTACAGGCATATAGTGAGCACAATTCTTTCACAATTCAAAACTCACTAAAATAAGTTCAGTTATGCTATGATAAGAGGGTGGCAATTTTTGACAACATCAAATGTCACCATATTCAGTGTCCAAAAAAAGTGCCGCGCGCATTTTTCATGGTCGCATAACTGGTATTGCCACAAACCCAGGTAAAAAAGCAATTAGAAAAACCTGGTTTGGGATGATGAGCATGGTCAAATTCTTGACTTATACAACTTTCTAAGTTTTTCCAGGTAAACAGATTCAACATTGAAATAAGCCCCATTCGGAACCTCATAGAAACCAAAATATTGTGTATGGACCAGATTTTTTTCAATTTTCTGTGATTTACATGACACTAGTTATAATTTAAGGGTCAACCAGTGTTGTTCAAGACATATCTTCCTTCCAGAACACCTTTTCAAAATACTAACCCAAACATGTCAAAAATAGTGCACATTTACAAGGGCAATTTCAACCCTTTGGCACATTTTTCCCATGAATGATTTTAATTCTAATAAAAAGACTACAGATAAAGCTTTGATTTAAAGCTAGTTTCAAGTGATGAGCATACCCAAATTTTTAAGCTAAACCTCAAGGAATATAGGTCATTTCAACATAAACATTGAAATATGGGTATACTGACAGCTCTGTCACACTTGTAGTTTGGCATTAACAGCCCTTCTGAAACATTTTAATGAAAATATAATTCACAAAATTTACATTTTCACTTACTTCTTAACATCTGTTTTAATCCAACTAGCTCTGTAGGCACGAGCAAAATCTAGTGTTGATCTAAATATCCATTTAGTTCATGTTTCCCAGGTGAAAATATAGTCTATTCCAAAGCTGGATATCGACATACTTTAGCTTTTCAGCTCCCGTTGGCCTTCCTCAGTAAGATTATCAACTGTTTCACAAACATATTTGATAGTAAACAGCTAAAATATTCTCTGAAAGTCTGTATTTTCCGCAACCACAGGTATTTTTTAGGCCTAACCGTGATCAGTGCATCAAAAAAGCTCCATCTGAGGATACAATAAATCCATATCTTACCAACAAAACAACAATTTCTGATGGAGAAAAAGCCCTTAAACGACCTTGACCACAAGTCAAATGGTCCCACCCGCTGGATCACACTGATGTTCAAATTCCCAATGGCTCGGGTGGCTGTTTGAGGCAACTCCTCGCCCATTGCCCTTAAAGGCGGCTTTCCACTAAGCGAAATTTTTCGACCGAATCGAAATTTTCTTTTGTCTTACAAGCACTCAGATGGAACTATTAAAACAGAAATCTTTTGAATTTGAACAATAGAAATTTCGGTTCGATCGAAAAATTTCGGCATTTCGCCCAGTGGAAAATCGCCTTAAACACGGAGTCAGTTTCCTCAAACATTTCTTACAAATCCTTCAACACTTAGAATTTACCTGTGCAAAATTTCTACTGTGATCACAGAAACTTTGATTGTGTACACCAGGCATAACTTTATGTATAAAATTGAATTTATTCACCTGGCATGGTTCATCATTGCGCATGCTCCATCAACACTCGCACTAGTAATTACTCTCCTGTAAAATGAAGACGCCGATGCTAAAATTTTATTTCTAAGTCTTCACATACATGTGAAATTATTTTTTTAATTTACTAAATACCATATAGGGTTGTTCGACATACTGGTACATAACCTCCAGAGCGCTTGGAATATATGAGATGTGATAAATATTTTGAAATACCTCACCTGAGTGATTTTTTAATGATGAAAAATACGTCATCGACCATACTTGACGTCACGGCTTCGTCATCATCACCTTCGAATGTATCAAAGTTGATTGCCTAAATAAAATAATACGTTGTTTCTCTCGACGTTGACTGGAGATGTGTAAAGATAATTACGAACTTCGTTATAAGTAGAAATCTCGCTCAATGAGGATGCGAGTTCACGAGAGTCAACGAGAGTCACGATTGACCGCCAATATACGATTCCAGCCTAAATATAGACTAAATTTTGATTTAGGCAAGAAGAACAAAATCCATCACCACAGCTAGAAAGAGCATAAAATTAGTAAAATTGCAAAGTTTGACCGCGAAATGTTGTAAAATAAGGAGAGTATGGCTATACTACGAAATTTGCAAATGTTGTGTTAATTTGTATTTATTATACGCATGCACGGGAAAATGCACCACTTTCGGCCAAATGTGGTGCATTTTTCCACGCGTAATACAAATTAATATACAAAATTTGCAAATTTCGCAGCGCTATATTTTCCTCGTTTTGCAGCATTTCGCGGCCAAACTTTGCAATTTTACTAATTTGAACATGCTCTTTCTAGCTGTGGTGATGGATTTTGTTCTTCTTGCCTAGATCAAAATTTAGTATGTACCTGGAATCATATATTTTCATCAACTCTCATCAATTTTGAGCTGGTTCAAATTTTGATGAGATTTCATGAGAGGTTTTGCTCATTTGACTGGTCAGATATCAACCCAGTTCTCATACACAAACTCCCGCTTGCTAAATAAAGGACAATCCTCGAATAAATTACGGAGGAAAACCCCATTTGTTTTGCCAAGATGCAAAAAAAAAATCGTTACCGAAACACTTTTATACCCTTCCAAAGTGTACAAACTGAACAATTAGCCTTTCTCACGATGACGAATATCCGCCATTTTTGGGTGGCATCCAATTCTCGTTAACCAATGCAGACAATTAAAACAATGTGAAAAGCAATTTTTCAAAATAAACTAACCATTTACAAAGTAAATTTTAATTGAGTTTTAAGCCTGGCGCACACGATGCGATTTTAATCGGCCGATAAAAATCGTTTGACATACCGATATAATATATATCGGTATACTCCGCACACGATTACGAAAAAAATATGCTCCCTGAACTGTAGCCGCCATGTTGCCAAATAAATACAAGCATGTGATCACAGCATGAAATCTGATTGGTATACTTAAAATTCCACCGATAAAAATCGTATAATATCAAAACGTTTTGATGTTGTCCGATTAAAATCGAGCAACAAAAATCAGTTAAAAATGACACCGCACACACAACGATGCTGTTAGTTTTAGTCAAACGATTTTTATCGGCCGACTAAAATTGCATCGTGTGCGCCAGGCTTAAAGATCTTATGATTTATTGGAACATTTTAATCCAGACAATTTTTAACTTCAAACTTCTAACCTATCAAAATTAGTGTTGCACAAAAATTGTCAGTGTATACATACTTAACTGCATGTTAAAGAATTATTGGCATTTTAACAGTAGTTTTTTTATAAATTGTCACTAAAGTTGTACAATTCAACCTACTGGTAACCTGAAGTTCAGGCCCTAATCACAGAACTTACTGGTTGCAAGACAACTTATTTAATAAATCCATCTATACTCTCATAAACTCTCGTTCTCGTTTGACCAAAAGCTTCAAAACAAAAGTAATAACCTTGTTGACGGTTTCTCTCATGTAAAATTCTTCCATGATAATATACGAACCAATTATTTCCTGAAAAAACGACTCACATTTATTAATTACTACTTTATTCATTAAATATCGCAACTGAATTTATTCACACATGCTTTAATGCTCCTATATACCTGCATTTTTCGACTTAAACCACTGTCTGTTATTAGCTTTTCCAAAAACTTCTGCATGTCTAAAATTGAGTGGTTGATTCAGATTGAAAGATACCTTCTAACTTTTGTTTAATTTTACGTGATTTATTCCCGATTTATTTTAATTTGGGGATAGGTAATAGATACCTTTACATGCGTTTGGGATCTCTCATTTGTGGCTTACTTATAAGCATTATTTATTTAATGGATTTCTTATATCTTCAACGGGGTCTGGAAAGTAGACCATGCCGTGAAATATTGTATATTAGATGCACGCATATAATGCGTGTGCTGTTTTGTGTCCTGTATGTCAATGCATTGAAGAAGTCCTCCCCCGCCTTACACGCTACAGACAATAGTACTTTTACTTTTTACTTCAAGTATTTTTAAGGATACTTGTACTTTTTAAAAAAACAGTTTCATATTATTCTGACACTGCAATCGACCAACGAAAAATTTAAGAATAATATGAAACTGGTTTTTCGTATCTCTGAGGATGGTTCTGAAATTGTACTTTTTTCCTCCAGTACGTTTTAATTCTTACTCATGTCGTTTTATTGTTAATTACTTCTACTTTTACTCGAGTACAAATTCAAAGTAATTCAGGCACCACTGTAAAATTTTATTAAATAAGCAAGACTAGCAAGTTTCCATTACCTTCTGGTTTGTTTTCGTCAGGTAAAACTTCCATATCGGCCTAAAAAGTGAAATGTAATCAGACACTTACAATGCGCGATCATCTAGCGTGCTCATTTTCTAACTGGATCAGATCTACTTACGACAACTTGATTTTTCAGAAAGCGGAAATACAGTTCAGTTCTGGAGTTCATGAGAACTATCTCCCCCAACAGGACATCCAACGTCCGCGGATCTATCCTAAAAAACCGCAAAGAAAGTATGTTACGAAATGGGAAAATAGGAAAGGAAATTCCAAACTATGAATTCCAAAAGATAATACAAAATAATCTGGACCTTTCAAGGTTGGCGGTTGAACTTTTCGACGATGAAATTTGTTGAATAGATTTAATCTGGAAGATAAAAACCACTGGATTCAAGATCATATTTGAAAAACCATTGTGCTCGCTAGTGTGCTTTTCTTCTGATTCAGCTCAGCTGATCAATATATGTGCGCCTCAAGGCTGGTGTACACTATCAAAGTTTCTGTGATCACAGTTGGAATTTGTAAGAAATGTCTGAGGGAATTGACACATTAAGTCAGTTTTCTCAAACATTTCTTACAAATCCTTCAAAACTTAGACCGGATTTTGGTATGTACACGGTATATGAGCATTCTCAAAAGCATCCGGATTTTTGTATGTATATGAGCATTCTCAAGAGCATACCGAATTTTGGTATGTATATGATCATGCTCATGAGCATACTGGATTTTGGTAGTAGCTTAATTATAGTCAATCAATGATAAGATTCTTACTTATAGACCCATTGCACTGACGTCACACATCCCTAGAGTGTCCTCCAGATGCTCCCTAACAATATCTGTTCGGGTACAACAACCACATGCAGCGCAAAAATTAACCATTTTAATACGAAATTATTATAAACTTTTACAAAATTTGCCTTGTTTACAAAAGTTATATTATGCATAGTTTGCTAATTTGTCCTCCAGATGCATCGTCGCCGGCGCTGTGACGTCATGTGCAATGGGTCCATAGTCAATCAATGCTACAACCTACCTTTGCATAAAAATCTCTCTTATTTGTAAATTGGTTTGTGATTGCTTCAGCCTGTCTGTCGCATTCTTGCTGCAGTAAATGAACGTACAATGAAGTATGTTAATACATATGAAATATTTAGTTATAATGTCTGGAAATTGAGAGTTGAAACCCAATGTTCTAAGATTTTCTGAACACTGCGCGTCCTCTAAGACAAGCGTTAAGTTGTCACGAAAATATTTCGTGCACTTAAATTGGATAAGACTCGCTACCAATCCCCGTTGACTCGATAGCTCAATGGGTAGAGCGGTGGTCTAGATACCCGAAGATGCGAGTTCAAATCCCGCTCGAGCCAACGAATTTTATGAATTTGAAACTGTTTTTTCTCAGTATATATGATTCACACAAACCTGCAGCTTTTTCAGAAGAGGAAAGATATGGCCAGGTCCTACAGAACAAATTGACTTTTCAACAACCTTGTAGCAAGTTATCAACAAGCCGTTGACAAACTTGTCAACAAGCTAGGAACAAGGAGTGCGAACGCATTCTGTTGACAAGTTGTTGGAACAGCATTGCTACAAATCTGCTGCAGGTTTGTTACAACTTGTGAGTTTTTACTTGTGTTAGCATACTCGTGTATACACGCGCTCGCAAAGGTGATCTGGATGCACGCTTCGCTTACACACGTAAAAACGCACAAGTTGTTACAGGTCTGCAAACAAGTTGTTACAAATCTATTCACAAGCCGTTGACAAGTTGTGTTCGCACTGCTTGTTCCCAGTTTGTTGTAACAAGTTTGAAACAAGCTGTTAACAACTTGTAACAAGCTTGGTGGCATTATCAGACTTGTTACAAGGTTGTTCAAACAAGTCCGATACAGTCATGATATAACAAGAATGTTACAACGTTGACGACACAAGGTTGTATTTTGTTATATAGGCTAATGACTGTATCAGATTTATTGGAACAACCTTGCAACAAGTCTAATAATATCAACAAAGTTGTTACAAGTTGTTAACAGGACTTGGCATATAATAAAATGTACGGATAAAAAACTACCGTAATAAGTCTCTACCAGTGGCTGATGAGCTTCAACAATCCTTGCGACATCTTCGTAAAGCATCGTAATTGTTTCAGCAAAAACAACACTCGCTCTACGTTCTAGACATGTCAAAAACGCAAATTAATTTTCAGTTCAGATTTCGTAAAACAGCTAATACTTTTCGCAGGCCTTAAAATCCGTCAGGTCCGTGACGAAATTAGTGAGCTTAAGCAAGTGACGTTTTTGACAACACGGACGTCGACCGGAAGTAAAGTTGACGTTTTTCACCAATCACAGTCCTTGACCCAGTCTTCTGACGTTACTCATGCCGTTCGTGTTGTCAAAAACGTCACTTGCTTAAGCTCACTATTGTCCGTCGTATAGAGAAAACCACCAGACATTCAGTCCGACCTAAGACGTGAAACTGAGGTTTATTGTTTGTCCGATCCGAGTGATTGATGTGCGACCTATACCCGTAGCTGTAACTTTGTCCGACGTAAATCAAAATGTACCCTAGTCCAGGACTAGAGCACAGAATACTACAGAAGTCCATCTCCATTGTTTTTAGCACAGATGAAGTATATATCCTTACTTAATCTATGGTTTTTAGCGTAAGCGCTATTCGTCATGATTCGTCACTCAGCAAGTACCGTAAACAGAAGCAGTCCCCCCTGGAAATACTAAAAATGGCGAACGTCCAGGGGGGTGACTGCTCCTGTTTACGGTACTTGCTGAGTGACGAATCATGACGAATAACGCTTACGCAAAAAACAATGGGGGTGGACTTCTGTGTAGTATCATAGAATATATAATAGACCAGAAGCCTCACTGTACACCTTTCCTTAACATTTTCGTGTCCGCGATTTTCGCCTTGCGGATCACGAATTGCGCACGCTAGATGACGTGTGTGACACTTGCTGCACAGAAAAGAAAATGGACCAGAAGCCTCACT